AAAAAACATCAAGAAACACTGAATTAAACGACCAAACTCATGTAGTCAATGCAAGTGTCGTTCTGTATTTTTCGTATACAAGCAGAGTTTCGAGACTACCAGTAAATCAGTTATCTGAGTTGTATTCATCATTTTTTGTTTACTGTGATAAAGGACATGTGGTAGAATTTTCCCACAATGATATGAATTAAAGCTGACGTTTCCATTGAATTTCACACAGCCTTGTTTTCCCAGAAGTTGTTTTCATACACAATGGAGTACAGTTTCGACTTCGACTGCGTCTTATCAACACCCACAGCGGGAGTCGAACCGTGACAATGAAGATGTGAATTTCAAGGAAGGCCTGGTTTTTCTTTAATATCACATTATTTGGTGGCATTGTCGATGAATTAAACGTATTTTTCCTATAACAATCAACAGAGTTTCGAGACTACCATTAAACCAGTTATATGAAATGTATTCACCCTATTTCGTTTAAGGTGATGAAAAACTTTTGGGAAAGCAAGACTATGTGAAATTCAGTGTAAACGTCAGTTCTACTAATATCATTGTGGGAAAACTCTTTCATCACCTTAAACGAAATAGGGTGAATACATCTCATAATCGTTCTGTATTCACTGCGCGGCATTAAGAGGGATTCTTCAACGTTCTTGACTGATTCTATTAATACTTGAGCAGCCTAATGTACAAAAGTCTTTTAAACCAAGGCCTTTAGTGTCTAGTTCATCATACCCAAGCACGAGTAGATAGACCATTCGTTTACCACAGTTATAAATGATAATCGTGTATGGTGTCTTGAACAGAACCAGATGGGAGTGCTTGTGTATTATACAATCTATCGTTAGGTGACCATTTTTCTAGCATCGGTGATGATTTCTTAAGGCTATTAAAAATGATAAAAGAAGAATGTAGTAAAATGTCTTGCATTAATAGGTGAGGCCATAAAGTAAGATTCGTACAAGTGTAGACTAATTATATGTCATGTAACGAGGAGTCGCACTGAATTTGGCGTAGGATTTTATCACTTTGTTCACAGCTTCTAAAAAGTCCTTCTCGGTGGCCATTTTTCTGCGTGACCGTATCGCGAACATTCCAGCTTCAGTGCAGACACTGCGTATCTCAGCACCTAAGAAGAACAAGTAGGATATATAAGATAAAATTAAATATGATAAGAAAGTCTCATCCAGGAGATAGATATATACATAACCGTAAGCTTATTCTATCCCAAGTCAGTAATAAATTTGATTCATATCACACATACTGTATTGTGAAAATTTATCTAATCCTATCCTTACGGGTAAAGTGGTTACAAGATGCTTGGAGGATTATTCGGTTAGACGAATATGCACATCAGACCACCTTGCAAATCATCAAATAACAGAGGGGAGTACAAAGAGCAATGATGCATTGAATCTCCCCCATTAC